AAATTAAATATTATAATATTTGATTAAATATTATAATATTGAAATATATTGTTTGTATATATATCAATTATTATATAATATATAATATTATTATAATATATTATATTATATTAATTAATAACTTTAAATAGAGTTATAATTAATTAGTAATTATAATATAATATAATATATTTTTGTATAAAGTAAAATAATGTATTATATTACAATATCATACCAAATAATATACTAAACCAATTAGGTAAATTAATTTACACTCAATTGATATATAAATATTATACTTTAATAAGGTGTCACATTATCAATTATCCCATGAATTATCAAATTAAAGTTTCAAATTGTCTCATTATCCTAAATTGTCTCACTTTACACCACTCAAAATATCCCAAAAGGATAAAATTGTTCCATTAAAATAATTCTCCCACTTAGGCACTGTTTGGCAACAAAAAAAGTATCTTATCTAAGAGCTTATGTCTTATTGACCTGGTCAATAAGCTAGTAGAGTTGTTTGGTGACCAAAAATAGAAGGAGATTATTTTGAAGATTGTGTCTTTTGCAAGTAGCTTTTGGAAAGCTACCTCAAGTAGCATTTGTCTTTGGGAAGGAGCTGCTAATTTTTTTCTTCCGATTTTGCCCCTAATAATTTTAATTTTATATCAATAATATTGCATGTCTTTTTTAGTTATTTAACAAATTTAAGCTAGTTGTACAACTACTTTTGCCAAATAGTTCTAGTCAATCAGCTAGCTACACAGCTAACAGCTTTCAGCTACAATTTCACAGCTTTCAGCTAGCTTAACAGCTTTCAGCTATAATCTCGTAGCTTTCAGCTAGTTTTACCAAACAGAGCCGTAGTCTCAACTTGTCCCAACCAATAACCCCCTATAAGAGAATAAACAAACATAGATTTCCCTAGTCTAAGTATCACCGCTTATATAAGCTAAAAGTTTGCTTAGTTGAATATCGCAACCATTGATTTAAAATTCACAACCTTCTCGTAAAGTCTCTGGATTTACTAGAGATCTTTTGCATTCATTTCAAATTCGACATGAGCCGGATGCATGTTTTCCCATGCCTCTTTTATATATTCAACAGCATAAAAACTTTAAAGTTACATCGAGAGTTGAGAATCAAACAAGAAGATCCAAACGATTTCGTCCTCGGAGAATTTTTTGAAATAGGTCAGTTTTAGTTAATATTTAGCAAAACCAAGCATTTTGCTAAATATTTAGCAAAACAGATACTTTTTTTGGCCAGCTCACCAAGACGGGTCAAAAAGAGGTCGGTTTTGCTGAATTTGGGTTTTAAAACAAACAGAGACTAGTAGTCTCATGTGTTTAGTGGCTGCTATTCGGCTGAACTAAACTCATAAAACCCACGGGACTACTAGTCCCGTGGGTTTTCTCTTCACAAATATAAAACCGGCCATCAAATTTCCAGTCCGACAAATAGAATTGCACCCTCAGGTCAACCCCCCTCCCCAACCTCAGGCGATCCCTCTCCCACTCCTGTGGTGATTCCCCCATCATCGTCTCCGGTGGGGCCATAATATCGTCCTTTGACCTCTTATCCTCCTACATCTCCGCTCTCCTCTCCCACTTCCAGGCCTACTACCATACTCTCGACCTCGCCGCCCGCCACGACGCCTCCTAGCTCCTCTCCCCACACTCCCGACGCTCCCCACTTGAGATCCCCTTCCTCTAGCTCAGCGACTTCCACCTCTCCCTCTTCACCAACCTCCTCACCATCTCCTCCTTCTCCTCCTCCCAATCCCTCGTCATCCCCAAGATCGAGCAGCTGGAGCGGGGGATCCACCTCATGGCCACCTCCATCGCCGATAGGTTCTGCGACGCCTAGGCTCTTATCATGTGTCCCTGATCAAAAAGGTCGATTTTGTATTTGTGAAGAGAAAACCGACGGGACTAGTAGTCCTGTGGGTTTTCTAAGTTTAGTTTAGTATCCGATTAGCGGCCACTAAACACACGTGACTATAGTCCTGTGCATTTCAAAACCCAAATTCAGCAAAACCGACCTTTTTTGGGCCAACATTGGTGAGTTGGCCAAAAAAAAGTCGGCTTTGCTAAATATTTAGCAAAACGCTCGGTTTTGCTAAGTATTTTTCAAAACCGGTCTATTTCAAAAATTCTCCTTTCCTCCTCGCAACAACACACACCTTTAGTAGGCTAGAGAACCCGCCTAGAAAAAAAATTCTTGCTGAGTACTCCATCATGCCTCTAATTGATCACAAAAACATTAACGAAATAGCAGCAAATGTCAATCTAAATTTCAAGAATGCTTAATCAGTAGACACTGGCAAATCTAAGTTGACGTTTGTGACTTCTCGAACTGTATAATAGAGCAATTAAAGAGCAATGGGTTGTTGTACGCAAAGGAATAAATCACATACTGCATGAACAAGATACATCAGTAAATCTTATATTTGACTGTAACATTGCAAGCAACACCAATATAAGTGTATTAATGTCAAAGAAACATCAGTGTAATTATTTTATTTGCTATAACTAGCAAAATAAGTTTAATAATTTGAGAAACATTTTACTGTTCATATAGTACATAATACCCACAAAATGTAAAATAATAGGCCTTGAATACCTTGTACTATGTTCTTTGGCCATGAACCCAGCTACACACCTTTTACACATTATTATAAACAAGGTTTGTGAGGTCATTTAAACAACTGGATAAAATTCTGCAGTTGACCATCACATAAAACAAGGTTAGGAGGCCATTATTACGCAGACAAGGGGCATAATTGCTTATATGTGGATTACACTTTTTCTTCATTTCTTATACCCCGCATGACTACTTATAATTAAAGAAAAACCTAAGAGGCTATATCCAATACCT